CTGGTCAAATGTGGTATGATAGGGCATTTCTAGAAGGCAAAGGTTTTTTTCACCATTAGAGAATAATCCAACAGCGGACTGTTTGTGCATGTTTGCTCTGTGTGATGTCCCTGTTTCAGTGTGTGATATGGGTTGGTATCGTGCGAGCGCGTTGGCCAGTTCTGGGCCCAGCAAGCAGTCCTTGACATAGAAGCCTATAGGTGACTGAGAGCTGAGGAATAGGCAGCTTTAGCATACATTTCTTGTCGGAGCAGAGACCACAGGGATTCCGCTTGCTGGGATTGTGTGAATGAAACTGAGGATAGGAATTGTACGGCAGGGGCTAAGGGCTGCGAGACTGTCCTTGATATCTGGATGGCTCACAGTGGGATGAGGAAAAGAGGGTAGAGGAGGGGTAGGGTGAGAGGAGAGGGGAGAGGGATAAGGGGTGTGTAGGAAAGGTGGACTGCGAGAGAGGGGAGAGGATCGGTGCGATGCGTGTTGTCAGATTGGCGGGCGGTGGTTGTGCGGTCTTCGGAAAAGGGGAGGAAGAAAAAGGGGGAACTATGAGAGGGTGTGGCGTTGCGTTGCTCTTCGCTTTAGGGGGGCTCTTGAGGAGGGGGGGGGGGCTGTTTTTCGTCTTGAATTCCGGCCGTATCATGCGTTGGGGGGGGCAAAAAAAGGGGGGGAAATAAGTTCCATCGGTTCTTCTGCTTTCTTCTGCTTCTTTCCTTCTGCTTTTTTGTCGGCTTTGCTCCTTGTCTTTCTTTCTCTCTTCGCCGTTGTCTTTTGTCGTTGGCTTTGCGTTTCTTTTCTCGCGTCCTCTTTTCTCTTCTCTTGTCGGGAAGAGGAAAGGTATTGGCGTGTGAAACGATGGTGGGTCCGCGGTGCTCTATGGGAAAGAAGGGGGAAGAAAAGGAAAGGGAGGAGGGAAAGAGGGGAGGCAGGGCGTAAGTCTCTTACGAAAGATGCTTCTGCGTTGGCTGGCGTTCTGCTTGCGTCTTCTCTTACTCGTCATGACGAAGAGAAAGGACTCTCTGTCTCTTCTCGTTCAGCATGGTACTCTATAGCCTTCTCTATCTCCTTCTCTTCTCTGCTCTGCTCAAATCTCTTCTCTTTCCAGCCTGGGTTACATAAAATTTCGTGGGCGGTCTTACCCGAGTTGCGTTGAAATGTGGACAGGAAACATGGGTGTGTGGGAGCCGCAACCGGTCTCGTCTTCCTCTCTCCCCGGCTTTCTAAACGGGAGAGTAGAAGGGTCGGTGGCTCATCTATCCACTGATGCCCTATCCTAAGGTCTCCTGTCCTGAACATCTCTATACAACGTCAATGTTGTTGGCCGTCTTTTCATTGAAGCTTGATAACTCCTAGGTTACAGCACCCAAAGACGTATCGATATTTCCTTTAAGAGATGAGCATTCCAGACTATATTCATGTTATTCTCTATCTACAGCCTACCACTTAATCTCTGTGTAACCTCAAACTGTTCCTCAAACTGTTCCTCAAACTGATCCTCAAACTGTTACTTAAACTGTTACTTAAACTGTTACTTAAACTGATCCTCAAACTGTTCCTGAAACTGTTCCTCAAACGGTGTAACCTCTTGTCCATTCTACCTGTCTCTCTTGACCAGCAGCACTGTTTACTCTCTCTACAAGTGGCCTAGTTTGTCACATTCCACATTGGCATTTCAGAGCACAAAAAAAGCCCATCCCAGTCAGATACTGCTAGCTACATTCCTGGCTGAATAAAGAGAGGACATAAATGACTGTTTTTTCCGCAGGTCCAATTTAAGAGCTGGCCTTGAAGGCAAAGACTCCCGATTTGGCAAGTAGAGCTGAAGTCAAATAGGACAGCCAACAAGAATTGCCTCAAAGATATGATTAGTACCAGAGAAAGGGACAACTTCCTTTTTTGGTGTTTTTAGGAGAGTACAACGGTTGAACCATGCTTGTGTGAGAAGCAACCTTGCCTGAGACCGGAGGACTTGTGTTAGCTACCAAAGCTAATATCTAGGCTTTAGCTCAGCGGCCTAACAGTCTTGTGACGCACAAACGACCCCATTTTCAAACCCAGAGTGGTCACAGGTACTTGTCTTTACCTGCATTGAATTACCTACACAACATCAGCCTTTAGCTCAGTGGGCTAACCCAGTCTTGTACCTGCACTGTCCGCTGTTGGTGTCACAGCTGACGTCGAGGGCGGTGACTCCAGGTCCGGGAACAGTTGCAGACTCACCACACATCCGACAGAGATGACAGCGAACGTCTGGGGCTCCACGTATACACTCTGGGAGCGGGCCTCGTTGGCAGATACGTCCTCCTGGCCACCGGCTCACCCCGCCGTATACCACCCTGACACTCTGTGGCATGTGGTAGAGGACAGACATGTTTAACCATACCTGTAGACACACATATGTACACTGACATTCACACACAGACTCACACATTGAGAAGTGAAGAAGACACGCTAGACAGTACACACAGACAGACAGTACACACAGACAGACATACACACAGACAGACAGTACACACAGACAGACAGACAGTACACACAGACAGACAGTACACACAGACAGACAGACAGTACACACAGAACAGACAGACAGTACACACAGACAGACAGTACAAACATATACATTCACACAGACAGTACACACAGTCATTACACACAGACAGACAGTACACACAGACAGACAGTACACACACTGAACAGTACAAAACAGACAGACAAGTACACACAGACGACGTACACACGACCGACATGACACAACAGACAGACAGGACAAACAGACAATCAGACAGTACAACACAGACTTACCACAGCGCAGTTAAAAAAACAACAAGCATACATCAGTACAACATACAGACAGACATAACACACACGAACATACACACAGACATACGTACACACAACAGACAGTACCCAAACAGCAGTCACCACAGACATTACACACACAGACAGTACACAACAGACAGACAGTACCACGACAAGACAGTACCACACACAGGACAGTACCAACAGACGAGCCCCCAACAAGACAATTACAAACACACCACACAGACAAGACCAGTACACACAGACATAAGTACACACAGACAGACAAGTACACACAACAGAACAGTACACACAGACAGACATTACAATACAACACAGAACAGAGCAGTTAACCACACAGACGACATACACACAGACAGACAGTCAACAAACACACAGACAACACAGACAAAAAACCCCGCCCACATTACACGAACAACAACCCCCCCAACAACAAAACACCAACCACACCCACAACCCCCCACCAAACACAACAAACACACCCACCACCCTCCCCACAACACCCCCACACACCCCCACCCCCCCAACCCCACGCCACCCACCTAGTCCCCCACACAAACACACAGCCAACAACAAACAACAAACAAACACAAACCACACACACAAACAAGCCCGCCAACACCACACACACCCCCCCCACCCCCCCACACCACAACCCACTCCCCTACCCGACCCCGACAGACATTACACAACAACAGACAGACAGTACACACATACCAAGACCAGTACACACAAACGAGACAATTAACAAACACCAGACAGACATTACACACGACTGTACAACTCTCAGTCTCTCCACCCGTATCCCAGTCTCATATCCTCAACCAGGCCTTGTATGTATTTTTCCCGTCCTTTCACTCTACAGTTGGGGAATCCCCAGGGCCTGTGTAGGACTCACGTCTACAGTTGGTGAAATCCCCAGTAGTAGGCCGTTTGGCAAAACACTGGGAGCATCTCGTCTCTCCTGTCTCTGCGTGGGGAGCAGGTCTCTGGGCGATTTACGTTATGTTTGGGTCTGTGTGCACTAGGGGGGGTGGTGGCCCCTGCTAAACTTAACTCTGGCCCTGCCCCTCCGAAGGAGGATTGTGCAAGGTCCCATCTCTGCTCGTTGTCCGCTCCCACCTCATGGCAGGCCGCTCCCTACCTCATTGTTGCCCCCACATTTATTTGCCGTCAAAAAAAACAAAAAACAAAACCGTTTGTTTGAAGAACGCAGAGAGAGAGATGGGCTGAAACTCGACAGAAATGGGAGGAGCTGTGGCAGGACTGGAAGAGAGAGGGGAGAGGGGATCAGAGACAGGAAGTGAACAGAGATAGATAGATAGAGAGAGGGAGGATGGATTTTGAGGAGGACAGTGGAGAGAAGAGATATAAGTTCTCTCTCTCTCTCTCTTTCTCCCTTTTTTTCTCTCTCCCCTTTCGCGCCTCTCTTTCCTACTCTCTCTCTTGTCTTTTTCGCCCACGCTCCATTGACGCGCTCTCCGTCTCGCTCTCTCTCTCTTCGAGGCTCTTTTTCCTTCTCACCCCGTTCCTCTCTCGCTCTCTCTTCGCGCTCGCTCTCGCTCTCTCGCTCCTTCGTCTCTCTATACTATCGCTAGCGCCGCTCTCTCTCTCTTTTCGATTTCGCTCTCCCCTTTCTCTCGCTCGCTCTCCTCTCCTTCTCTGCCTCTCTCTCTCTCTCTCTCTCTCTCCTCTCTCGTTCTCGCTTTCTCCTTTTTCTCTCAAGCTCCCTTTCGCGCGCTCGCGCTCCCGCTCTCGCGCTCGCGCGCGCGCTCGCTACTTCGCTCGCTCGCGCGCTCTCCTCTCGTCTCTCTCTCTCTCTCTCTCTCTCGCTCTCTCTCGCTCTCTCCTCTCTCTCTCTCGATATAGAGAAGAAACAAAGAAACCATTAGAGTAGAGGTTATTTCACATTTAGCTGTGAGTCTCTATTTAGTCTCTAGTTAGTCTGTAGTTTGTCTGTAGTTAGTCTAGGTAGTCTCTAGTTAGTCTCTAGTTAGTCTCTAGTTAGTGTCTTGTGACAGACGATTAGCTGTCCAGCTATTGACCAGCGCCCAAGTGATATTTGGTTCTCGGTACTGAAATTACATTTGAGCAAGTATATATTTTCAGCCGCAAACAAATACTGTAGCTTTTATTAGCTTTTTACATCCATATAGACACAGGGATGCTGTACAGTAAACTCACTTGACGTAGAAGCTGTTCTGTCCACAGTTGCTGATGAAGTCGTATGATTTGTCCAGAGGTTGTTCAGACAGGTAACTGGAGCTGTAACTGCCCTCTGGTACCACCAGAACATAGTCCTGAAACACATAAACACGGATAGATGTTTTTAGAACGTTATACCCTTAACACCTCTATCTGTACTGAAATAGGTGTTTAGCTCTGCAAGCAGACAACTGATTTGAGAAATGGACAACAACCATAAGATCTATGAATTCATTTTTCATCCTCACTTGTCTTTCACTAAAATGGAGACATTTGCTCTCAGTGTTTCTAGACTAACTTACCAGCCATAGTGTTTTTCTGTCAGGGACCTGGACAGTCAGGAAGATCTCGTTGTCCGTCACATCCAGAATGATCTGGTTCTCAGAGATCAGAACGCTACGGCAACCGTAACCATGGGGACAGAAGGAGGCGTTGGCGTGGCCTGGAGGAGGATGGCGATTACAAAAAGATTACAAAAGATTGAAATTCAACTGTCAAAATATTTAAATGTAACTGTCAAAATATTCATATTCAACTGTCAAAGGATTCAAATTCAACTGTCAAAAGATTCAAATTCATCTGTCAAAAGTAAAAAATTTAACTGTCAAAAGATTATTGTGATATTCTGTCACTTTTCCTGCTTCCTGTATTTTGCTCATTTATAGATCGTGATCGAGTCCTTTAATAATCTTTTAACAGTGATAGTACAACTATTGATATAGAGAGATATTTTAGGTGGTGTAGTGTGTGTCTCTAGGGCTCACCCTGCCAGATGCGTCCGCCGTTGATGAAGACCTGGACAGGGTAGGTGGGGTGGAGGGGCTGGTGGTAGTGAAGGATGAACACGTAGCGACCCAGAGTGTGGACACGGGCAGAGTACACTGCTGCATTCTGGAGGACAGGAAGATACAACGATCATGACTGCATGATATTGGAATCATTCAGTAGAAAACTATTAGTGAATTGGTTCCATTGTGTGACTGTGAACGAATACCTCAATAACATCCAATGTGAGGTTCTCAACCTTAATAGATCTCCTGGTAAAATAAAGACAAAATAAAATGTCCTAGACCAGGTACCTGAATAAAATGATGATATTAAATAAAATATATTTGAAGAGTTACCTGAGCGGTATCAAGGCGGACATGGTCCACGTTATCCGCTGCGGTGGGAGGATTGTCTACGCTGGCCCAGTGAGGGGTGTCGGCCGGACCCAGAGGGGGGTCAGCAGGGGAGGCCAGGACAGGCTCCTGGACCGATGAACCTTGACCTTCCTTCAACACCAGTGAATCAGAGGGGGTCTGGAACCTCGACGGGATACAGGACGAACTGGGATGGGAGAGGAAGAGGAGGGAGAGGGGAGAGGATGAGGAGGGAGGGAGGGAGGGAGAGGGGAGGAGGGGAGAGGAAAAGAGTTAGTGTAATGAGTTAGTGTAATGAGTTACTGTAATGCGTTAGTGTAATGAGTTAGTTGTAATGGTTACTGTAATGAGTTAGTGTAATGAGTTACGTGTAATGAGTTACTGTAATGAGTTAGTGTAATGCGTTACTGTAATGAGTTAGTGTAATGAGATTACTGTTAATGAGTTAGTGTAATGAGTTAGGTGAATGAGTTAGTGTAATGAGTTAGTGTAATGAGTTAGTGTAATGAGTTACTGTAATGAGTTACTGTAATGAGTTAGTGTAATGAGTTACTGTAATGAGTTAGTGTACTGAGTTACTGTAATGAGTTAGTGTAATGAGTTAGTGTAATGAGTTAGTGTAATGAGCTAGTGTAATGAGCTAGTGTAATGAGTTACTGTAATGAGTTCCTGTAATGAGTTAGTGTAATGAGTTACTGTAATTAGTTACTGTAATGAGTTACTGTAATTAGTTACTGTAATGAGCTAGTGTAATGAGTTACTATGTAGCAGCTGGGGACTTGAGTCAGGAGCTCAGGATTGGAGTCGCGCTTTAGTCACAAAAATACAGACTGGTGACTACAGACTGGTGACTTGGGTCTGGTGACTTGGGTCTGGTGACTTGGGTCTGGTGACTTGGGTCTGGTGACTTGGGTCTGGTGACTTGGGTCTGGTGACTACAGACTGGTGACTTGGGTCTGACTCTACAACATATGACTTCTTCAGAGCCTGAGTGGGAATCACTTATGTCTGGTTACCTGTCAGGTGAGAAGGGTCTGTGTGTGATGGTTACCTGTCAGGTGAGAAGGGTCTGTGTGTGATGGTTACCTGTCAGGTGAGAAGGGTCTGTGTGTGATGGTTACCTGTCAGGTGAGAAGGGTCTGTGTGTGATGGTTACCTGTCAGGTGAGAAGGGTCTGTGTGATGGTTACCTGTCAGGTGAGAAGGGTCTGTGTGATGGTTACCTGTCAGGTGAGAAGGGTCTGTGTGATGGTTACCTGTCAGGTGAGAAGGGTCTGTGTGATGGTTACCTGTCAGGTGAGAAGGGTCTGTGTGATGGTTACCTGTCAGGTGAGAAGGGTCTGTGTGATGGTTACCTGTCAGGTGAGAAAGGGTCTGTGTGATGGTTACCTGTCAGGTGAGAAGGGTCTGTGTGATGGTTACCTGTCAGGTGAGAAGGGTCTGTGTGATGGTTACCTGTCAGGTGAGAAGGGTCGTGTGTGATGGTTACCTGTCAGGTGAGAAGGGTCTGTGTGTGATGGTTACCTGTCAGGTGAGAAGGGTCTGTGTGTGATGGTTACCTGTCAGGTGAGAAGGGTCTGTGTGGATGGTTACCTGTCAGGTGAGAAGGGTCTGTGTGATGGTTACCTGTCAGGTGAGAAGGGTCTGTGGTACCTGTCGGGAAGGCGGGTGGTTACCTGTCAGGTGAGAAGGGTCTGTGTGTGATGGTTACCTGTCAGGTGAGAAGGGTCTGTGTGTGATGGTTACCTGTCAGGTGAGAAGGGTCTGTGTGTGATGGTTACCTGTCAGGTGAGAAGACTCCATGTGTGCTGATACAGTGGACCTTAGGCTCCAGGTACTCCATGGTAAACTGCTCCCGGGGCACCAGGTACACTTTGTGCTGGAGGAAAGATCAACAAAGGTTCCGGAGCAAATACAAAGAGTGAGAGGGGACAGCCTTGTCTGGTGCCTCTACCAATCAGGGCTTGGAACCGGTCCAAGGAACAGAACAGAAAACCGGAAAATACATTTTTTCAAGGAACGGAAACAGAACAGGGAACGAAAGTGATCTGTAGTATTCCAGATTATAACCGTTATTTTAAAAGCATGAGAACCAGTTAATAATGTTATTTTACGTTCCGAGCTTTTCTTTCAGTCTATTCCAGTGTCTGCCTGCCAGCTAGTTTTGCTGGGCTAGTTAAGGATACTAAAGTTATCACGTTTCACATTGGATTTTATTAACTACAAAAAGGTAAGATGTGTTTTGAATTCTGGTGTTGCTGCACGCACGAGCTCGTTAGCTAGCTCTGGTCCAGGGCATTAAGCTAGCCTCGGTGTTGAGCTAACTCTCGGACGTTCAAAGTTCCTCCATGTTAGCCGCTCCTCCGTAGGTATCTAGCTAGTATATAATGAATGTAATTCAGTGAAGTAATGATAGGCCTACTAATACCCTGAACACATTATAATGCCATGTCATAAAACGATGCCCGGCACTTCAAGCCAAGCCTTCTTCATATCCCACCCGCAGAATCTCACGGCCTACACTTGTCTGTCCATCAAACATGTAAACAACAAGCTGCTCTATCCGCAGTGATTGGGTGGAGTTATTTAATGAGCTAAATGTATTCGAACTAATTCAGAACTTTATTATGCTGGTCGGAACAGTGGAACAGAACAAAAAAAAAATGGTGGTTCTGTTCAGAATGAAACGATTGGAAAAGAATTGCGGTTCCAACCCCTGGTCCCATTAAGATCCACTGTCAATCATGATCTGAAAGTCAAATGGGTGTGTCCCAATCATCTCTCATTCACTATGTGCACTCATTCACTATGTGCACTCATTCACTATGTGCACTCATTCACTATGTGCACTCATTCACCATTCCTCACAAAGTTAAAAGCATTGGTTTGGTGTAGGCTAGAGGGATAAGTGAACAAATGCACACTTCAGGAGAAAGGAGAGATGATTTAAAAGCCAACCCAAGTATTATTTCTGCTCTGTGTTTGACTGTATCATCTTGATAAAGCTACAGTATTTTGAACATGTTGCTAAACATATCTCCCGAGTGGCGCAGTGGTCTAAGGCACTGCATCGCAGTGCTAGCTGTGCCACTAGAGATCCTGGTTCGAATCCAGGCTCTGTTGTAGCCGGCCGTGACCGGGAGACCCATGGGGCGGTGCACAATTGGCTCAGCGTCGTCCAGGGTAGGGGAGGGAATGGCCGGCAGGGATGTAGCTCAGTTGGTAGAGCATGGCATTTGCAACGCCAGGGTTGTGGGTTCGATTCCCATGGGGGGCCAGTATGAAAAATACAAATGTATGCACTAACTGTAAATCGCTCTGGATAAGAGCGTCTGCTAAATGACTAAAATGTAAACCTCTTACCAGGAAGAAGCTGGCTCTGTCTGCTATCAGTTGGACCTCAGCATCAGTGGACAGGGTGAAGACAGCCACACGGTTCATCTCATCAATGGTCACCACCCGACACAGGCAACTACAGACGAGAGAGAGAGAGAGAGAGAGGAGAGAGAAGAGAGACGAGAGAGAGAGAGAGAGAGGAGGAGAGAGAGAGAGGAGAGGGAGAGAGGAGAGAGAGAGAGAGAGAGAGAGAGAGAGAGAGAGAGAGAGAGAGAGAGAGAGAGAGACATATGAATGATCAGTCAAGCTACACATCGAGAATAGATAACATCCATTCATGAAACATCAATGGCAGCCAGTTTTCTTTTTTGATAGCAACAGCTAGTCTGTACACAAAATGACACATAGGGCCTCTGCAAACACACACACACCACACACACACAGACCTTCTGTACACACACACACACACACACACACACACAGGCCTTCACACACCTGTATTTGCAGGGCAGCAGTGTGACATGGTGCTGGTGTGTCCTTCCGCCAGGTGCGTTGACGGACACAGAGAGGGTCTGTGGTGCTTCGTCCTCACTAGCGTATTCTACCACCAGAACATAGTCCCCTGGACGCGGCACCCGGCTACGCATCTGGACATTCAGCTGGGAGAGGAGACAACATATTACAGTGTTCAGTCATTTCACTTTATGCACACCATCAAACACACACTCACACTTGCAACCAGGCTCACACACACACACACCTCTCCCTTTATACTCACATCGCTGCCGCTGCAGATAGCCATGTTGGGGTGGCGAGGGGTGATCCTCTCCTGGTGGCAGGGTTGGGGCAGGTGGTTGTCGAACCTGCAGCTGGCATCGTTACCAGAGATGGAGGGGAAGCCATCCAGAGACAGGTACTTGTAGAGCAGACAGCTATCAGGGAGAGACACAGAGAGAGACAGGTACTTGTAGAGCAGACAGCTATCAGGGAGAGACACAGAGAGAGACAGGTACTTGTAGAGCAGACAGCTATCAGGGAGAGACACAGAGAGAGACAGGTACTTGTAGAGCAGACAGCTATCAGGGAGAGACACAGAGAGAGCAGACAGCTATCAGGGAGAGACACAGAGAGAGACAGATTAGTAATAATATCACAAGATGCAATTACACGGCGTATCTAACAGCAATATTTAATCAAGAATTATCTTTTGTTTCATTCAAGAGTGCCTCGACTGGGGAAAAGTAAACCCCTCATATTTCTTCCTACAGAGGGAAGCCGTGTCAATGTGCAATCACTTACTTGTGGCTGGCATCTGGTGCAGGGCTGTAGGTGCATGGCTCAGTCACTCTGATCTGCAGGACGGGAGCCTCATAGAAGGCACTGGGCAGGAGCACCAGGTAGTCCTGGAGGTCAGGTGGATGTTAACGAGGTCGGATGTTACAGATTACAACACAGACTCCAATCCACATCGGGGCACACACCTTTTCTTCCATTTTAAATCCCATACATCATTATGGCATGTCAAATTGACCATCATGGAGACACAGGAAGAAGAAAAAAACCTTCTGTCTCTCATGGAAACGGTTCAAACATTATAACAAATGGACTCAGGTTCTGCCGGCTACAGCGTATACTGTATATAACATACACAAGGTTCTCACCAGCAGTATGCCCTCTGCCTCAATGACCACGGTCCAGGTACCAGGGTTCAGAACAAACGGCTCCACAAAGTTATTCTGGGGCACGTTGACGAAGGTAGGTTCTGAGCTGGGGGCAAACACGATCTGTTTGGACTGTTCTGAGCCTGGGAGAGAGGAGAAGGAGAGAGGGAGAGAGAGCAAGAAAGAGAGAGAGAGAGAGAGAGAGAGATAGAGAGAGAGAGAGAGGTTGAGTGAGGTCGAGACGCAGAGATTAATTAAATTAAATTGAATTTTCCTCTGAGGGAACTCCTTATGTGGAGGGGTTTATTAGAGAATAGGACAATCTGTAGACTTCACTTATCAAGAGAACATGAAGTACACTCAATACATACAGGACTGTAGGTCCACACTCGATACATACAGGACTGTAGGTCCACACTCGATACATACAGGACTGTAGGTCCACACTCGATACATACAGGACTGTAGGTCCACACTCAGTAAGTAGTTTCAAAGAGCTTACAATACAAAGAGTGCAATCATCTCTACAAACAATGAGTCAGATACTGTAGTCAGGTCTGGTCATTTCTGGTCAGGTGGTCTGTGACACATACCTCTTCGGCTGTTCTGATAGGCTGTAATTTTACCGTTGGAGACAGCAGCCCCAGTGTTTACATATCTGAGGATGAACCTCGTGAGGTAGACATCCGCCTCACTCACGTGCACCGACAGTTTGACTGTGCTCTGAGGGACGAAGAAGAGGAAGAAGAGGAGGAGGAAGAGGTGGAGATAGAGGATGTAGAAGAGGAGAGGAGGTGGAGAAGAGGAGGAGGAGGAGGAGGAAGAGGAGGAGGAGGAGGAGGAAGAGGAGGGGGAAGAGGAAGATTCGGAGGAAGAGGAAGAGGGGGAGAAGAAGGCGGACAAGGACAAGGAGGAGGAGAAGGAGGAGGAAGAGGAGGAGGAGGAAGACAAGGGGGAGGAAGAAGAAGAGGAGGAGGAGGGGGAAGGGGTATAGCAAATGATAAGGTCTGAGTTAAAAACCCTGTGATAGGATAGAAGGTTAGAGGACTATGGGGGTTGGGAGGTTGAGGGGTCAGAGGTCAGGGTTTTCAGTTCCTCAGAAACCCTTGACCCGCGACAGGAAGTACACGCACAGCCAGCTCTAAACCCTGCCTCTACATGCCAATACCAGCCAATCACCAGCTGCCTCTGGGAGAGGCTACACCCACATCCAGCCTCTCTGAGGGAAGGAGGGGAGGAAGAGGAAGAGAGGAGAGGCTGGGGGAGGAAAGAGAGGAGAGGCTGCGTCCCAAATAGCCTTTTCCCTTTATAGGGTAGGATAGCACAGAGTCGTACACTTACAGTTGCCACACATTAAGTTCTTTCCATCTTCAAGGATGGACACCCTGCCCCTCATGTCCAGGCCACCACGGTTCACGTAGCGCAAGACTATTTGAAACAGGTCCGGAGAGGTGACCGAGACTTGAACCACCACCTTGGACTGGGGGGGGGGGGGGGGGGGGGGGGTGGCACGTAGGGGTGGGGGGCCAGGGAGGAGGAAAAAGGATGGAGAGGAGGGGAGAGGGTAGGGAGGAGGGAGGAGGGGGTAGGGAGGAGGGGAGAGAAAAAGGACAGAGCAGGGAAGCCAGTCCTTAATACCACACCACCACCACCACTGCAGCCTAAGCCAACCAGTAAAGCACCGTAAGATGAAAAGAGGCACTACAGTACCCATAATGCTCTGTACAGTGAGGGGAAAAAGTATTTGATCCCCTGCTGATTTTGTACGTTTGCCCACTGACAAAGAAATGATCAGTCTATAATTTTAATGCTAGGTTTATTTGAACAGTGAGAGACAGAATAACAACAAAAACATCCAGAAAAACGCATGTCAAAAATGTTATAAATTGATTTGCATTTTTAATGAGGGAAATAAGTATTTGACCCCCTCTCAATCGGAAAGATTTCTGGCTCCCAGGTGTCTTTTATACAGGTAACGAGCTGAGATTAGCAACACACTCTTAAAGGGAGTGCTCCTAATCTCAGCTTGTTACCTGTATAAAAGACACCTGTCCACAGAAGCAATCAATCAATCAGATTCCAAACTTTCCACCATGGCCAAGACCAAAGAGCTCTCCAAGGATGTCAGGGAGAAGATTGTAGACCTACACAAGGCTGGAATGGGCTACAAGACCAAGCAGCTTGGTGAGAAGGTGACAACAGTTGGTGCGATTATTCGCAAATGGAAGAAACACAAAAGAACTGTCAATCTCCCTCGGCCTGGGGCTCCATGCAAGATCTCACCTCGTGGAGTTGCAATGATCATGAGAATGGTGAGGAATCAGCCCAGAACTACACGGGAGGATCTTGTCAATGATCTCAAGGCAGCTGGGACCATAGTCACCAAGAAAACAATTGGTAACACACTACGCCGTGAAGGACTGAAATCCTGCAGCGCCCGCAAGGTCCCCCTGCTCTGAAGTTTGCCAATGAACATCTGAATGATTCAGAGGAGAACTGGGTGAAAGTGTTGTGGTCAGATGAGACCAAAATCGAGCTCTATGGCATCAACTCAACACGCCGTGTTTGGAGGAGGAGGAATGCTGCCTATGACCCCAAGATCACCATCCCCACCATCAAACATGGAGGTGGAAACATTATGCTTTGGGGGTGTTTTTCTGCTAAGGGGACAGGACAACTTCACCGCATTAAAGGGGCGATGGACGGGCCATGTACCGTCAAATCTTGGGTGAGAACCTCCTTCCCTCAGCCAGGGCATTGAAAATGGGTCGTGGATGGGTATTCCAGCATGACAATGACCCAAAACACACGGCCAAGGCAACAAAGGAGTGGCTCAAGAAGAAGCACATTAAGGTCCTGGAGTGACCTAGCCAGTCTCCAGACCTTAATCCCATAGAAAATCTCTGGAGCTGAAGGTTCGAGTTGCCAAACGTCAGCCTCGAAACCTTAATGACTTGGGAGAAGATCTGCAAAGAGGAGTGGAACAAAATCCCTCCTGAGATGTGTGCAAACCTGGTGGCCAAACTACAAGAAACGTCTGACCTCTGTGATTGCCAACAAGGGTTTTGCCACCAAGTACTAAGTCATGTTTTGCAGAGGGGTCAAATACTTATTTCCCTCATTAAAATGTAAAACAATTTATAATATTTTTGACATGCGTTTTTTTGGATTTTTTTGTTGTTATTCTGTCTCTCACTGTTCAAATAACCCTACCATTAAAATTATAGGCTGATCATGTCTTTGTCAGTGGGCAAACGTACCAAATCAGCAGGGGATCAAATACTTTTTCCCTCACTGTATCTTTGCCATTGATACCTTCTGTGACAGCATGGGCAGCAACCATTGAGGGTTCTCTATTTTAAAGTAGTCTATTTTTTGTTGCTTCTTTCTGACTGCCACCTGCGGTGCTGGGATGTTTTCTTTTCTGTATTGTTTTGTGTATTTTACCGCCCTTTTCTCCCCAATTTCGATCTTGTCTCATCGCTGCAACTCCCCAACGGGCTCGGGAGAGGCGAAGGTCGAGTCATGCGTCCTCCGAAACATGACCCGCCAAACCGCGCTTCTTAACACCCGCGCCCGCTTAACCCGGAAGCCAGCCGCACCAATGTGTCGGAGGAAACACCGTTCAACTGACGACCGAAGTCAGCCTGCGGGCACCCGGCCCGCCACAAGGAGTTGTTAGAGGTAGATGAGCCAAGTAAAGCCCCCCCCCGGCCAAACCCTCCCCTAACCCGGACGACGCTGGGCCAATTGCGCGCCGCCATATGGGACTCCCGGTCATGACATAGTCTGGGATCGAACCCGGGTCTGTAGTGACGCCTCAAGCACTGCGATGCAGTGCCTTAGACCGCTGCGCCACTAGGGAGGCTCTGGGATGTTTTCTAAGGAGTATAATTCATTGGCTGATCCCTCCTGCTGACCTGGATGGAATTATGTGATCCCTACTTAACCCATAGGAAGTCCCACCCAGTTTACCACGAATGGTGAAAGCCTTCAATGGCGCTGCCCCATGTTAAAACAGGCTTTGTGCCCTCTATCCATCTCTATGCCCAGCACATCTCCCCACCCACTCAACAAAACACACAGGCAGCCCCCCAATGCAAACACGCTAGCTTCAGTCATCAATCACTCGAGCATAAAGCAAGCTGTCTACTAAGTTACGAAAGCTATACAGGAATAAAATAGATAAAAACATTGACCTATTGGACCTCATACTTATTCAGGAGAATAAGTTACGATTGCACATGCAGGGGGTAGAATGACTAGGTTGAGTTGGCCACAGTAACAATACATGTTGTAATAAAAGCCATTTCATTAGTCATCAATATAACAGAGAACACAGAGGATGTCTATAGTCTGACCTCAGCAACTCCTTCCTTTATGAATTCAGTTACTACTACTGACAATAAAACGACACGTCATTTGTAAACATACAATGGCTGCTGGCCCAGTGTGAGGCCTAAGGCAGTAGAGGGGGCGGACAGAGCCGCAGAGATATGTGTATAGGCTATACGTGCTATGTATTACCATAGATATGGCATAGAGGACTTACCTGAATGGAGGACATCTGAGCGTAACCTCTCCAGCTGAACCCTTCAAACTCCAAGGGGTTATACCCAAAACGCACCGGCCGCCCGTCCAGCATGGTGCCCTCCTCTATCTCAAACTTCAGGTGGTGCAGGTCTGGAAAGTAGTGGTCCGGATAAGGCCTAGGATAGGAGACGGAAAATACTGGTTTTAAATAAATCGGTCTTTAAAATACGATTTTTTGAGTTTAAAAAGAAGGCCTCCTGTTGGATATTGTGTGTTTCTCGGGGGTTGGGTTAAAAAAAAAAGTGATCAGGGAATTACAATGGAATCTTCTTCTTTTTCTATTGGTTGTGTCGACGCAAAGTGAATGTTTTTTACACCATTTTTCACTCACATGTTACACTTGGGTCCTTCCACTTTTGGTCTGCAGCGACATCTCCCGGTCTTCTCCCCACACGACTGACCCACTGATCCCCCAATGTCACACCGACAACCTGCAACATAGAGGACTTGGTATACTGCTGTACACAATCTGCACATCCTATTACTTTAATTTATAGTACAACAGACTGGCGTTATTGTAGCAGAGGAGATTTTTTGGGAATCCCACTCTCGTGAAGAGGTAGCTCTGCTTGAGACAATAAAGCCCAACTGTTGCCCTCGGACCATGAGGATGTCCTCTTGATCTAATGGTTAAGATGTTGGGTTGGCGAGAGCGGGAAACCCAGGTTTGATTCCTGCTGGTTCCCTTAGACCAGTGGTTCTCAACCAGGGGTACTAGGACTGCTGGAGTACTTGGTCTATCCACAGCGGGTACTTGAGAAGACTCAGCAGACCATAGGCCTACTGGTAACATGAGGTGGTACTCTGGGCAGAGTAAAATTCACTTGGTGGTGGTAACAGTAGTCGAAGGGTTACCTTGACAGCCGAAGAAGCTGCCACTCTGCAGGTTGAAGTATCCATCTTTACACACAGAGCAGGTGCCACTGCACACGTTGGGTTTACAGTGACACTGGCCGTTGCTCTGTAGGAGCCAGAGAAAAAACATTGCTTTTTAAAAATAACCGTTGAATTAAAAATCAGAATAATCTAAATGAGATATATGTCCATTCCATACAGTGAGTCTTTGAGAGAACTCTACCCTAGCTAGCCAGTATTACTAGATACTTTATGTCAACTAAACAGTGGAATCGTTGAGAAAAAAAAACCTTTCTCACCTGAGCACACTCCGCCACGCCACCCACAGTCCCTTCAACGTTGCATTCACAGTCTGGGAGAAGGAGGAACACACGGAAAATACAATGAATTTTTGTCACTGAGCTCACCACAGGGCTACTATATGAAGTAGTAGAATCTTTAGCACAAATATATTGGTACCCAAACTGAATTTTCTTCCTCACATTTTAAAAACAGGTCAACCCAAAGTCTACTACATAAATCATTCACAATAACAAGCACAATGTCTCCTTCTGATAAAACAGGAAGGCTGCGTCTTACTGGAACACCTGTAGACGGAGTCATGTGACAGGTTCCAGAACAGAGGTTTACACCTGTCACAGGCCACGCCCTCCACACGGGGATGACACTCACAGGAACCCTGGTCAAAGATGGGTAGAGGGGATCAATAACTAAACGATGAATATAGTACAGAATATATGTTACATTTTTTTGTTAAAACATGTTTTGTTGGAACCCGAACCGTAGATGTAGGCTACTTACAAGAGTCGGCAGGACCTCGTTCTGCACAGAGCCGGCTGGGTTGCAAGTACCAGCTGTTCAGGAGAGGGAGAAACGCATAGTTCAGTTGATTCAATCAAACCATATTAGATGGATATAGGTTGTGGTTTATCTCTTCAATGTATGATCGCTCTCTGGGACGATAAAGTTGAAATCTTGAAACTTGAAAGATTGAGATCGAGATCAAGTTCCAAGATCAAAGATCGACTCTAGTCTTACCTTGGCACAGAGGAAATCCGTAGGCTCCAGAGCTGCAGGTGTCACACCTCTGTCCCACGACGTTGGGTAGACAGGTACACTGACCACTCACCTGGTCACAGCTACTGAAACGAGAGCCCTCGGCTGAGCACTGACAAGCTGAGGGAGGAGACATGTGAAAACATTAGCATATTAGCTGGGGAGAAAGAAGAGGGAGTTAGCCAGTTAGCATTTAGCTACATTCAGAATATAATTTACAGGTGTGGCATTAGATGGCATAATAAATACATAACAACACGTGACAGATGCACACAAACACATAATGCAAAAAATCGATGTTCATCTATTGCCAGAAAACTGCATTATTAACATATTCAGAAGTAAGTGTACTGAGTTTTAGATATTGAATCATATCTGATCTTAACAACAACCAATCAGGCTTTGAGATGTCGTCTGAACTCTGACAACTTACGTGTGCAGCTGGGGAAGCCAAAGAAACCGGGAGCACACTGGTCACAGGCGGCGCCGCTGTAGTTGGGTCTGCAGTGGCAGTGACCTGACACACTACAGCTAGAGTCCAGGGAGGTCCGAGGATCACAGGTGCACACTGGGTAAACAAGAAGTTACAACATCATGAGATCATGAAAGCATAAATTGAGCAAATCTACAAATAATTTGGAGTTATTTAGGATGAAGTTACAGTATTTAATATTTAAAGGATGATTTGTCTCCGACTGCAATGTAGTCTCAAACATCACCAAACTGTTTGGGTAGAGAGTTCGGACACCTCCACAAAACGACTAATGTGTGGTGTGTTTTTTTGTGGTGTCTGGTGTGTGTAGTTGAGATGTGTTTTATTGTGGTGTCTGGTATGTGTAGTTGTGGTGTCTGGTGTGGTGTTGGGGTGTGGGGTTTAATGGCTGGTGGTGTTCGTGGTGTGTGTAGTTGTGGTGGTGTGTGTAGTTGTGGTGTGTGTAGTTGTGGTGTGTGTAGTTTATGAGCGTGGTGTGTGTGTAGTTGTGGTGTGTGTAGTTTATGAGTGTGGTGTGTGATTCGTGGGGTGTATGTGTGGTGTGTGTGTAGTGGGTGTGTGCTAGTGGGTGTTTTATGG